GAGAGAGAGAGAGAGAGAGAGAGAGAGAGAGAGAGAGAGAGAGAGAGAGAGAGAGACTTATTATAAAGTATTCCTACCTAAAATATTTTGTTACCAATATGTTGTCAATTGGATAAAGTCCATTTTATGTGCATTTCAACTTAAAGGTCAAGATGAAACAGAACATGGGTGAGGAAGGTCATCCTTACACATATAATTCAAACAAAATAGCCTTGATAGCTGTGGTTAAGAGGAGATTATGACTGGTATGCAATTAAGACTGACATCCCCCTTAAAAATGTTCTATATGTAAACACAAAGAAATTAGAGGAATAGTAATGCAGATATTAAGTGTTTAACAAAATAACCTGTAACTGTGATTTTGTAAGAATGGTTAATTTCCAATGTTATATAATCAGTTCCTTATGAGACAGCATTTGTAGAAAAAAAACATTACTGAAGTGTTGATGGTTAGAGGATTCTGTAAAGATATTAACAGACCAGGCTAAAACTCCTAAAAATAAATGGATAATCTTCTTTGTAATCTAATCCTTAATTGCTTCTGATATGGTCAGTTCAATTAGTTTTGTCCTCATTTTTAAAAAAATTGAAGAACAAAAAAGATTCCCAGTTAGGTTATTAAAGTCATCTAATCATGATGTTTGCATTAAGAATGCATTTAATTTCCATATCTTTGGGGGTGATTCTAACTGATTTTGCATGGCCTTAGAGACTTGAGAAATACAAGAAGTAAGTACAACTAGTAAGTCTTCCTCATGAAGTATGGGCTTAGAATAGTTCTGAGCAGGTTATCAAAAGCCTGTGCTAAGAAACCTCCATTTGTAACACACTTTTAAACAAATGAAAATGTTAACTTAGTCTTTTCATTTCCCTAAGGTTAATGATAGCCAATTCATTAATTTCTATGTCCTTAACCCTTTATAAAGAAGAAGGAATTCAATATGTATTGCCAATGTTTCTACCTTTCTTATTCAGTATCCACAGCTATGAAAAGATGGAGATTTCTATACTGTACCATTTTCAGTCAGGTACAAGTTATATATTCATTCCACCACTGTACACTTGTGAACAAATTTACTGTCTTTTTTCCCACTGACAGCCCAGTTGTCATTACACATCTCATTCCTAGCAATTCTTTCTGTACCATCTCATTCTTAACAATCCTTTCTGTAGTATCTCATTCCTAACAATCCTTTCTGCACCAAGAAATGCTACCTATATCCTGAATTCTGCTATAAATTATTCAAAGTCAACCCTACTTTAACTCTACAGCATCTATTCACATTTATATGCTCTTAATCAGAAATAAAATACTTCTTTTGAAGCAGGTATAAGTCCACAGGGTGAAACTCAACTCTGTAGGCTCAAATCTTGAGTCTACCATTTCCTGACTGTGTTGACCTGGCAAGTTACTTAAATTTTCTGTACATAAATTTACTTATCTATAAATGAAGCTAATAACAATGCCTACATGTGGGTGATTTTACATGTTAAATGATGTAGTTCATGTAAACTGGAGTATGATCTGCACTATATAAGGGTATGCTATTATTATTTATTAATAATCTTTTCTCAGTAGAAAAGATTACTTGAGTTGTTCTCTCACCAGGAATATTTCTCCCTTTTCCTAGCTACTAAAGTTCTGAAATTTCCTTACTTTCCATCCCCTCCTTCAATATTTCTTGACCTCTCACCTTTCCCAAAGCACTTATTTATTGGAATATCATTTGCCCTGGCATTTCAAATTTTTCCATGAATGTGTAACATGTTTCCCAATCTGGAAGCCGTTCTGAGCTAAATGACCATGAATTATATTTCTTTTGAATCCTTTTGCAGCACCACCATAAATTGTACTAATAAAGGAGAGGGCAGAGGTCAATAAATATTGGTTAAGATAGATTTATTTTAGAACACAATAGTTTTAAATCACAAATGTATTTTAAATGAATAACTTATTTAAACTTGTATTGAATTTCATATTTATTTTGACTTGTATTTAAACTGTATTTATTAATAATTTAAACTATACTTATTTTACCTTTCATTCAGTGATGTCCTACTTTTCCAACTGCATCTCCTTCTGATCCTTGCTCTCTCCTCTGCTCCTCCATATCCCTCCCAATCTCCAGATCTCTGAGCTGCTTTTTCATTTTATGAACACCTCAAATGCTTTTACATCTCCTTGTCTTGTTACGTTGTGCCATCTACCTGGAAAATCTTTATATCATTGCTCCCTGGCCCCCACTTCTTCCCCAAACCCCATCAGACATGTTACCTGTCCTAACCAGTTCTAGAGAATTCTTTCTTAAAACTCAGCATATCAGCTTTTAGATACTTCCCCAGACTTCAAGGACAAAACTCTCTTCTCTCAGTGTAAATCTATTTCACATTGATTACTCTCATCTGTGAATCTTTGATGTCTCTCAGCTCTGAACATGTCTAAGAAAGAAGTTTGATTTTATCCACCTTTGCTCCCACAGAGCCTAGCATAGTGCTTTTATAGTTTAGTGAAGGAAAAGGAAATGTTATATATTCCTACATATTTAGGGAGACTTCATTATAAACAAGCACTTTTTTCCCTTTTCTTATAAACCATTATTTACTTTTATTGAATCTTCTAAGGAGGAACCTCTTATTCACATTTAAGAAATGGACTTGTTATACAGATTTTTTTTTGTAATTCTGAATGAGATTCAAGTTATCATAAAAGTAACTCAAAATAGCTCTCCTCAAGTTTCCTTTTTAAATAGAGAAACTTTTATATTTTTAATCCAGAATTTGCACTTTTAAAAAGGCCAGAAGATTTGTACAAGGGACAACCAATTCTGAATGGTTATTATTATGATGTTTTTAAACATTTGGAAGTGCTTTGGATCTTAATGCCATTTTACTTTAAAAGTAAGATAAAATGATAGCTGAAGAAAATTCACAAATATTTACAATTTCATAATTTCAGATGTCAATAAAGTTTGCTTAGGGGGAATTGCTTATCAATTACCTATTTATCTCATGTTTCACTTGAAAAGGTACAATACTGTGGCAATAATTTGGCTTCTGTGGGATATGGTTTTACTGGAAGGATTCTCCAAGATGATTTCAAAGTAAAAGCAGATGCTCCTGTATTGAAAGCCTTCTGTACTCAGGGTAACAAAATTTGTCTGCTTTGCTTGACTGATGAAGATGAGTTGACTTCCTGCATTAGAGAAGTTTGTCTTGTAGGGGCTGAAGTGACAAGACAATAACTAAGTGCTAATTGTGCATAACCAGCACTAAAGATATGCAGTCCCATTATGGCATGTAATAAATGAAGCGAACACAGAAATATATTAGGTACTTTAATAATGATACTAGAATAGTATTTTGCAGCAATAAGAATGTGAACAGTTTTAGAGCCAAAATTTAGGAGTGTTTGTCTTACTTGACTGAGTTCTACTGAGGAGACAGACTTAATTGTGAATGCAACTTTTTATTTCAATGGTGAAATAAAATTGATATATGATTTGTAAATAGCATTAACCACCTACAATTGCTTTGCATCATAATAGAATTTAGGCTGAGTTTAGCACTTGAATGATGTTTTCATTCTATTGTGTGGAAAATAGATAAAATAGGTAAGCCTGCCCAACTAGAAAAATGGACAAACAGCATAAATGATCAGTTCCTTAAAAGATGATACAAAAAAAAGATCACTAATAATCAAATAAATGTTAATTAAAAGTTATGATGAGGAGCCATCATTCTTCCCAAAGGTGACAAAAGTTTCTTTTTAAATAATAATTCTCAATGTTAAAGCCAATGTGAGGACATGAATAATTTTGTGCAATTTTGGTGTGAGAATAATTGGTAGGACATTTCTAAAGAGCATCTTTAACAACATTTAACATAAGCCTTCAAATTGTTACATTAGTTTGCTTAATTATGCTACTGTGAATTTATCCTGATAGATTTGAGCCTATATTATTGGTGATAATATCAAAATTTAGGAAGAAACAATCTGTAGATTAGATGATAGAAGACTGATTTTTTTTCCAGGTACTAGGAATTGAACCCAGGGGCACTTTACTGCTAAGCTACATCCACAGCCCCTTTTATTTTTTATTTTGAGAGAGGGTCTCACTGAGTTGCTGGGGCTGGCCTCAAACTTGAGATGTTTCTGCCTCAGCCTCCCAAATTGCTGGGTTTACAGATGAATGCCACTGCACTTGGCCTAGCAGACTAATTTAATATATGATGCTCTATCTATAAAACTGAACATGAAATAGCTTAAAACATCTTAAAAGAAATTTTAATGACAGGTAAGAAGGTATATAATATAAATTAGAGGGTCTGAATATCAAACATTAAGATTCTTCCCTGTTTCTTTTTTAAAAGCTTCTTAAATATGGATACCATGCAAAGTAGATACTATGTGTAATTTGTTATATATACGTAGAAAACGAGAGGTTGGTTATATTTCTTTTCGAATAGTGAGACATGGACCATATTGTTCTTTATTGTTTTCAATTATCTAAGTTTTCTCCTATGAATATGTCAGCTTTTATAAGTAGAATAGCAGTAGAAATTATTATTGCATAAAGCTAACTGTGCTGTTAGTGACTGCTGTTAGTGCATCAAGGAAACAAAGGTGTTCTGTTTATTTCTATTATACTCTCCAAACATACACACACACATGTACACATGCATATAAATGTGTCTGTATAGAGTATGGATGTTTGTGTTGTATGTCCACATTCATAAAAGAAACAAAATGTGCATTCATGAATTTATTTTTTGGCTAAATGTCATCTTAAACAGTATTAACCTACTTTCACTCCATGCACTTGTAATGAAAAAAAATCAAGATATGAGATGACTTCTTAAGCTAGTGTCTAGGGAATGATGATAGTATAAAGGCATACTGGGCCACATTCTAAACATCTACATTTAGCAAGAGATGTTACATGTCTTGTAGAAAAATCCAGTTCATGATATGGTCCAAGTAAATTACAAATATAAAACAAATAACTTTTGAAAACCTACCATGTTCCTGGTACTTATTATAAATGATTTTACTTTTTTTTAATTTGCAAGATAGATATTAGTGTATTATGGGTGTAGAAAATAAACTCAGAGAGATCAAGTAACATAGTAAGATCAATTTGAGTCTAGTGGCTGGAATTTGAATCTAGTTCTCACCATAAAGATCATATTCTTTCCTTCTGCTGTTCTACAGAACCTTATAAGAAGACTATGCATTAAACAGAACCTTTCAGGGCAAATTACAAGAACTGAGAACTTGATACGTTTACATATTCTCACAGCCATAGACATACTCACTTTATTAATTTTCATTAAAATCCATCAAGTATACTAATTTTTTAAATACTGCATTTTTTATATGCACTTTTAAAATATTTTTAAATTCTCTGCATTTATCACAGAAAAGAAGTGCCAATATCACTGGAAATAAAAGTTTAACTTTCAATAAGAAAAAATGGGTTTAAGTCATAATACTTTTGAATCAAAAGAGTTCTGAAGTTCATCGAGCTCCCTCACATTACAAATAAAAAAACTGAGGTCCAGAGAGGTGTAGTGTTTGGCTTAAGGTCACACAGTCAATTTGTGGCAGAGATAAGACAAGAACTTAAGCTTCCAGATTCCCAGTGCAATTGCCCTTTCCATTGCTGCTTTGCCAATCCTGCCCCTCCAATTCTGATAATTGTTTAATTATTAGCTCTGCCTGGTCTCATACTTAAAGAGATTTGAGGCAACTGAAATAGCACACATAGGAGAAGGTTAAAATTGCAAATAAGAAATAGGGGAAACTATAAATTCAATAAATACAATGAAAACAAAATGTCTGTTATACATTTCTGTATGTTTGCCTTGTGCTAACTTGTTTGCTGCTCACAGAAGCAGTACAAAAAAGCTATTTTAAACTAACTTGTTAAAAGACAGAAAAATGATAAAGAGAAGAATGAATAATAAGTCTAAAAGTTAATAAAAATATTTCCAGGTCCAGTCACAGGCTATTATACAATACAGTTCTTTTAAAGTCAGTCCTAAGACCTTTCTCCTTGGTGCCTATTTCTGGCACTGAATTAATCTTTGCAGAAAACAAAAATGCTGAGATTAATTGCTTTTAGTAAAGTGTACCAATATCATTACCACCAATTCCATCAATAGCAGGCACAGAGGTGTGCCATTTTTGAGAAGCCAAGATGAAGCCTCCTTACCTCTGATTACAGAGCTGACAGGCAAAGCAGTCCAGGTGGTAGACGTTGTCCTTAGCACGCATCACCATCTCAAAGGCAGGAATGAGCTTGCTACAGGCAGCACAGTTTCCTGTTACACCAAAAAGCCTAAAACAATAAATAGGAGTTTTTTGTTGTTTTTGTTTTGTTTTTAACTAAGGGAAATCTGAGATTGTGAATCGAGGATATCAATATACCCCGTAAAGTTATCAATATAATGACTTATGAGGTACACAAACGAGTTTTATCCTAGGTGCACACATAAATATTCTTCTGTAATATTTACTCCACTGGCCTTTCTTGATGAAAATCACATCTTGTTTGGAAAGCAAAGGAAAAGGCAAATACATTAGGAAGTTTACATAACTGTACACACTCAGAAGTCAACAGGGGTGAATTCATAGCAAAAAACCTACTTGTTGGAGTACATAGTAAACATAAAAGCAATGTAACTTTGATCTTAACATTGTATATTTGATATTTTAGTTGGAAAAGAAACCCACTTGAATGACTTGCCATTTTTCTGACATCTAGATTCTAAGAGGTTTGCCATTATTATTGAAATAACGTTTATGAACAAGCCATTTAAATAGTCAAAAAACCATGGAGGTGCTTGCACCTTCTGGCCCTATACCATAGTTATAGCTGTGATTCTGTTATTCAGGTAGCGCATTAAAGTAAATGAGGCTGTAAACTATATATAGCTAGACCAGGAGTTCAAGCATAATATATTGTCAGAACCACTGAAATTGCCTGAAGGGAAAAAAAAAGGTATTCTTTTAAAATCTTATTTGCTGTAGATACCTGAAAATGGTTATTGTAATGACCTAAAAAATAGGACAAAATAAAATGTCTTATCATTTCCTAGTGGGAAGAAATATTTTATTCATTTTCACTGGCAATATTTAAACCAAGTTCCTTCAAAGTTGTTAGTGGTGGTAAAGAATCACTACAAATAATATTTCATGCATAGTAGTTAACTAGGAAGCCAACTAGATGAAAAACACTACATCTGCCAGTTTTCTTTTTTCTTCAACATCAGTCTGACAGGAGAAAAATATAATAGCTCTCATGGGAAAGACCAAATTAAAAGCAGTTCTAAACTAATGAATTCAAAGGTGCTATGGAGAAAACTCATTTTGGTTATATAAATGTACTTTAAAAAATCTTAGCCTTTCATTTTATTGAATTTAAGGATTACGCACAAACGTGCAGAAGTCTCTCTTCTTATTACTTTCTATATACTCTGAAGATAAGTCTGTGCTTAAGGCATGCATATTCATTTTCAAGTTCATAACTATTTCCTCTTAGCAGACTAATGACAATGGTTGGACAGAGTTGTAAGAGTGGTGTCTACGTGTCTGACAAAACGTACAATAAATGTTCTGCTTGTGATTTTGTGAGATTGTCTCTTGAAAACCATAAGCCTCTTGAGGGTAGAAACTGCAAACGCTTTCTAAACAGTTTTGGAGCACAACTTGAACACTTGATAAAAAGTACACAAGGTTTATATTCGAGAAGATTAAATTCAAAATTCTTGGACACTTATCTTCCTGAGAGAATTAGAAAAATCTTTAAATATGTTAAGGAACAGAACTCAAATAACTTTTATGTCCTCAATTTACAATCCATATTTTGAAAAATATTTTTTTTCTTGCAAAAGAACTTCGTGGAAAATATAATATTTTGCAGTCTCCTGTTGGCATCATTAAAAATGAAATCATCACAAACTAAAGTTTTCATCCCATTCTTCTGTGAGACGAATTTTTTCATTCATTTTAACATTTCACATTTACTTTTTGAGTGTACTTCACACCATCTCTTCAGGAGTCACGGCACTTATGTGTGCCATTTGTTTCTTCTGTTTATGATTTTTGAGAAAGAAGGAAAATACAAAAGTTCTTTATTCCATGAATATAGATATATGTGTGGATATAAAATCTGGTTAATATGAGATAAATCCATTGTTAAGAATTACTCAGTTTGCACTTACCTAATAAACATACACACACAATGCCATTTTGAAATTCTGGACATAGTTTCCCCCAATTTCAATTGCTCTCGCTAGCTGAGCATTTATCAGCTACCTGATTAGAATTTGTTTCCACACAAACCATTGATCATCAGCCTATTACTAGGCAAATGACAGTTAATTACCCACTACATTAACCACTGGGACCTGAGACCTGCTTCTGCTGCCATCAGTCAACATGATAAATGTGGCAAGTTCAGTAATGCATGGCCAGCCCTGAGCTGCCTGCTATACTGTGAACAACCCTCAATCTCACTTCCAGGCCCAGGAAAATCTATGGCAATCTGCATAATTACAAGCTCTGGGTTAATAACAGACAAATGATTTGTTGCATCTAAACAAAGTCCTTGGAATGGTCCCGGTCTCTGGTGGCTGCCCGCACGGCGCACTGCCACTAGTATACTTTCCACTACAATGTGCACAAAATAGTTCTCTGACGTTATAGCCTTCCAATTTGTTGCCCTCCAATTTATGGATTCTGCATATGTGATTTTTAATCATTAAAGGACTCTTGAAGCAATATTATCTTAATTATTCTCTGCTGTAACCAGGGAATTAGGCTTCAGATAAAATTTTCTTCTTCCATGCACTTTCCCTGCCTCGCTGGAGGCTCCATCAGTTTCCATCTACACCTGGACTCTGAAATCCTAATGATGAATTATTGCCCCTTTTCCTAAGAGGGCGAACCTTACAAGGGAACATTTTACCGAACTGTCAGCTCACAGACTGAGTGCGGAGATGTGGAAATCTGATCTAATTTACTGCAAAACGATGCATTTGTTAGACTTTTTCCTCAGTTTTGTCCAAGGATCAAGAGATCATTCTACAGCCACATTCGTGTTCTCGTTTTTCTCAGGGGGGCAAACCTAACATTCCCAGGGCAAGGAAACAAAGTAATATTTTTATAAAATGGGGTTTGAGGATGTATAATATTATCCTTTGATTCCCAAACATGCCATTTGGATTCTCAGGCAAAGAGAATTATCATATATATCAACTAAGCTTAAGGAATGCTTGAAGTCCTCATTCATAAGATTTTGTTGTTGTTGTTCAGATGTGTCCAAGAAATATTCAAGAACAGTCTCTTAATTATCTAATTCATTTCGATTATTCACAATCCTGGAAATCTTGTAACCCCTTCCTCTGCTCTGTTCACTCCCATACTCGTTTAGAGGATAACATGGATCCACTTTTCCATTTAAGCTAGAAAGCTCTGTGAGCTCTTGTTTGTAGTACTTACACTGTCTTATCTCCTACCTAAGAGGAGAGCCTAAGAGCTCTTATTGGTACACCGGGATAGACAAAGCTTTATTTAAAAATAAGTCATTTTGAAATCTGGACCTAAGTTAATCATAGCACACCAGCTCCTAACTTTATGGTAAGGGGGAAAAATAGGCTCATTGATCCATTTTGCTCATTTTAAGATGTCTTGTAGATTTTTAAAGCATTCCAATTGATGGGCTAGATTGTCCCCTACTACTAATGTTCATAATAATCTTTAATTAATATGACTTTTATCTTGTTTCCGACACACCGCTAAAAGCAGATTTACCATATAAAAGGAGACAAGTATCACTGATATAATATCAGTGACAATTACTATTTATAGGAATACCAAAAGATGATTCTAACCCTTTTCCATTTCATTTTTGCTTTCACTACTTGGTCTTGACTATCTAAAAACAGATATGAAGACAAAAACCAAACAGACAACTTTCTTATGGAAGAACTGAGCTTATCTGTCTACTACACCTCCCACACTGCAATGAGTATGTACAGAGAAATATTAAGTTTTGTATATGCGTGGCATAGCAAGAACTAAGACAATACATGCTTGTATTTTTTAAAGGCACCCAGAAAATTTTGCGATTTTACTAAATGTTCAACAGCTTTGATAATATAGTCATAAATCAGATAAACTCTGTATGCTATAGTGAATATCCATTTCCAAAGTTCCTGGGGGTGAGAGACAGAAAAACTCAAGACACATAATCATTTAACATAGCAATAATAAATATGGTTTACTACAGGCATCGGGGCAAAATGAGTGTTCATTGTATTAGTGTCTTTTGTTTCATAGCACCAGATGTTTCTATAGATTTTTTTTAACCAGGTCAGTGGCTCAAGTCACTAAATCAAATTCCCCCAAGCTATGGAAAGCATAGTATTTGACTCAAATTAATTTATTATTTGGGGAAAAACACACAAATAAATACCATTGTAGTAAGCTTTGATTCTGAATAAAGATCAATTTTTTTTTCCTCTACTCAAGCAGTCCTCTAGTGACTTAAATACATATAACAGTAAATATTTGTTTTAATATTAAATCTAAGGCTAGTTATCATATCTATATACATACATACACATTATATACATTGGGGAGAAATAGAGAAAAATGAAAGAGAGAGATCTCTCTATCTGGGTAGAATAACCAGAGATGAACAGAGAAAGAAAAGTTTGGGTTTCCAAGGATGTGAAATTGTAACCATTTGAAAAGATCTTTAACTTTGACTGCTGGCTGGTGAAGTTTTATTGAATATGTGATGTGGGAAGGAATGGAACATTTTCACAGATTGAGAAGGACAATTGCTTTTTTTGTCTATTACAAATATACTTCTCATCTCCTCTCCCACTTCTCTTTTTAAACCAAGGGAGGCAGTGATAGAAAATGAAAACATTTTAAATATTCCAATCTTTTGTTTCAAACTTAAAAAGCTCACCCATTACAAGGCTGAAGAGAGTGGATCCTATTATTCCCTCTCCCCATGGGTCTTAGCAAGTGCTCCAGTATCAGTGGCAGGGAGAGAGAGGGATACCATGTAGGTGTTAAAGAGAGTAAAAAAGAAAACACTACATACTTAAAAATATACAGAAGAAAACACAAGACATGTTTCAGGTGAGTTTGACCAATGTTCCTGTTTCAGTTAAAATTACCACAGGACTTCAGGATATATTTGTTCTCAGAGAGGAGTCTGAATTAAGATAGAAGAATTAAAAAGTTGACCATATTTTAAAGGAATGAGATACGGCTCCTGTTTCAAAGAAATCTAGTAATTATTCATTTCATAATTATTTT